CCATCGTGAGTCCCTGTGGGGGATAATGGTGCTAGATGATGTACCGGCAAAAATCATCGCCATGATCAGGGCCTATTATCGTTCCACTACTGCGAGAGTCCTGGTCCGCAACAATCTTACCCAATCGTTCGGTATTCGGTCTGGCGTTCGACAGGTTTGTATCCTGTCGCCCATTCTGTTCAACCATGCAATTGACTGGATCCTCGGGAGGGCCCTACACGAAGGTGAGGGCGTTGAATTTGCACCCGGACACCGACCGACTGATCCCGACTTTGCCGATGATATCGCCTTACTTGCTTCTAGTTTTGGTGATCTGCAGTCCATGGTGTTACGGGTGATCGAGGTCGCTAAATCGGTCGGTTTATCCATAAACGCTGGGAAGACTAAAGTGTTTTCAAGCTGCATCCCTGACCAGAAGAAGGCACCCCTCGGGATTGATGGCCGTCAACTTGAATATGAAGACAGTCTTAAATATCCCGGGGAGAGGCTGCTGTCGAATGGGCAGAGTAAGGATGACATTGTGTGCCGAATCGATGCTGCCAGACGGGTTTTCTTAAGCCTTAGAAAATGCCTCTGGATCCGACACGACGTCACACTCGTCACTAAGATTGGCGTCTGCCATGCATCTGTGCGGTTTGTCCCTCTCTACGGTTTTGAATGCTGGGCTGCGCTCGTGGAGGAGGAGCGAAAACTGGAGGTATTTGACCACCATTACTTGAGGACCATCCTTCGAATGAAGTACAGCGACTTCGTCTCAAATGAGACAGTACGCACTCGCTGCGACAACATTTCAAGAATAACTCAGGCCACCTAAGAGAGGCGACTGAGGTGCTTCGGGCATGTTCTTCATCGTTCACCTCAAGAGCCCAGTGTTACTGCGCTCGATCCGCCGCCGTTACCCCATTGGAGGCGTCAAAGTGGGGGTCAAATCAAAACCCGGCTCGACACAATTCGTCAAGACATGGAAGTGGTTCTTAGACCTTCGGTATTCGGTCGAAGAGAATGGGTTGAATTGTCCAGATCTGTGGCCGCTGATCGTCACGCGTGGAGAGGTACAGTTCCGGGCATCATCGAGACCGGCTAGATCAGGCATGATCGCAGCCGTACCAATTACAAGCAACGATGGGTCATACGCTAGCGGGCTTTTACACGCCTCACCTGTGCATCAGATCGCCGTCTTCGAATCACAAACGCACCTCTCTGCCTCCTCGCTGATAGATTTTTGTGCATGGAAATGATATCATGGGGAGCAGTTCAGCAGGTATTCCTGACATTCATAAGAAGATTGTGGTGAACCGGCAAGACACCCGATTCCATTTAAAAACGAGTGTGCAATGGGGAAATTTTAAACCTGAGGAGAATTAATTGCTCACCGGATCGGGGGACTTTTCTGGCTGACGTTTCGAAGAGCTGGGGCTGCTCTCCATTGTCAAAGCGTCAAGTGAAAAAATCGATCAGCATTTTTGAATAGACCCGGATCTCTTACTTTTGCTAACCTGAATTTTAAGCCTATTTGAGGCACATTATCGGAGCGCTGTCAAGTACTTATAGTGGCATTCAGACAGTACGTTGAACTAGTGCTATCTCCATCAGACGCAACCGTCACAAGCGGAGAAGCTCAGCTGTTGCACAATGACGTTGATTTGGTCGAATATGGCAACCCAAGTTCTCGAATTCAATCGCCCTGTTCCACATGAATCCAGCCTGTGAAAGAGTCTGCTATCCAGTCAAAACACCAATGAACGGAAAAATTATTCTTATTTTACGGTTTTCTGTTTCTTTTGAGAGGTGACGGAGAGAAAGTTAAAAGTACACAGAAACCAGTTACAATCAAGTTCGCTCATTAGTTTCCTCGGCAATTAAATAAGGCATGTTGAAACTGGAATTCATATATCAGAAAACAAACGGGGAAAGCTGGGGGACCCACTGACGAGCCGAACCCCTCGCAGCTGCGTCAGGCAGCGGCATTAGATCGGCGAAACACGCGTGTCTGGACTTTTAGCTAATACCTGTTTTGTTAGTACGGTAAATCATTGCACACTAAAGGTGTTTCAAATTAACTTAAATTATGCTAGGATATCTTCCAGCACTTACGTTCATTTGCTTCGGCGGAGTTGTGTTCACTGTTCTCTGTGCTGCTCGTGTCCCCCGAGGATTGCCTGGACCCCTTCATGCTCAAACACAAGACATTCTAAGCCGGCTGCGTGAGGGATCGACTTAAACGGCATGTCAGTAAAACTCTTCTCTGCAGGAGGACGGCTATTGGTTGTTGTTTGTGGTTTAATTGGCCGTCCACAGCCAGATAAGTTCACTATGGGTTCTGTTCGCCACAGCGTAAACCAATAGCCTTAATCTCAGTCTTCGCGGGAGTCTGGTGTTCGTGTTAATTTCGTGCAATGCGTCCAATCGGAGTGCAGGACAGCATGGAAACAGTAGCATTTCTCCTAGCGAGAGTCACTGTGAATTCAAGTTGAGGAGTCATCCATTTTGGTCCGCAATCAAAGGGCGTGGGTTTGGTGTTTTCTTAAAGGAAGATAATTTGGGATAGACATCGCATAGAAATTTCATCAGCAAATGCTTCTTTTGTAGGGTGACTTGCAAAGGGGTACGCGTTTTCATTTTAGAAAATCGCACTTTGTGCGCACTAAATCGTCCCTTAAATTTCTTTTCGTGATTTTATCGACTCACCTCCCACATTGAGCCTGAGATGCATTCCGTTAGGCAGAGCAACCTGGACCGTTTTTTCTGATTGGAATGTGCCGTCTCGATCACATGCAGGCAGACAGAACAGTAAAGGGATTGGCTGTGCACAGAAGGCATACAATTGATAGAAAGCA